ACTACTGTCATCATCTACAGCTAATCAACAGCGGAGCTAATTATATCAGACTCATTTAAATCCTTTTACTGATTCTTTCATGTATTCTGTCTTTATTTATTCCAGCAGTTTTTAATGTTTGCATAGTTTATTAACCATAATAACATTATGAGGGTTCATTAAATAAAGCAGCTTTCTGTTTTAATTGAGGAGGTTTTTGGATTATTTATACACCAGTGAGTCTAAAAAGAGCAGAGCCCACCTCCTTTGGTTATCAGCCCGGATAGATACAGAGAAATATTTTCCTCCTGGTTCCTCCAGGTTTCCTCCTAATGATTAATCTCTGTTTACTGATGGTGAAGACATCTTGGAATTTACCAGCCGCTCCCAGACGTTCAGCCACAGAGGTGAGCTGTTAATAACACCTGCTGATTGAGCCAATAGTCATAAAGACCATTAATTGGTTTTACCCTCGATTAAAACGATCTATTCATTAACTTTAACTGCCAGTTAGAGTTAATGATAATATCTTCATCATCTGCTGGTAAAGCTGCAGAGCGTTAGTTATCTGTGTTTGCTCTGCAGAAATGATCCTGTTGAAACAAAATTTTCAGGATGACTTAGTCCTGGACTTCCCCCCAGCCATCAGAGCAAACACTGGGAGGCCTTTAAAGTCGGGCTGCTCTGGCCAAGCTCCAAACTCCTGCGTTCCACCATGACTGCCACGCTTTGGGCTACCGTCTCCGTTTCCCTGCTGCTCCTCTGCTCTGCGGCTCCAGCAGAAAATGAGTGCAGCCAGCTGACCCGGACTCTGACAGCTAACCAGCTCCAGCAGGTAGATCAGGACCTCCAGAGCGCTCCGCCTGCTCTGCCTGCCTTCACTCAATGCTGACTGTTTACTTTGAGCAGATTCTGGGCCGCTGGATCTTCATTGAGGGGACATGTCAGCATGACTTCTTTGGGCCTATATTGGACGGCATTGAAAGCATGTGGATGGTGCTGAACAGGACGGCAGACAACCAGACGCTCCTCCTAGATCAGTCAAGCCGGGTGGCACCGCACCAGCAGCAGTAAGTCTGTTTGATCAGAATTTATCGTTAGCTGGAGACTAAGAACCAGCAGGAGAAACGGAAGTTGGATCATTTTATTTTATCCAATAGAAAACTTCAAATGGAGAAACGAACATTCTCAGCGATGCATTTCTATTTGTGAGTCAAATGAAGTTTCAGTTTTAGATAAAATGTCGGCTGGAAGGAGCTGCTCCTGCAATCAGACCTTGGAGCAGCTGCCACGGCCTCCATGTTGCCGCATCAGGAGGCTGTTGGAGGAGAACGTTTCTATGACTGGCCAAAAGGCTCCAACATGGCTGCTGGAAAAATGCAGCATTTCAGGGGCAGAGATGGGAGGTTAGCTTGGTCTGTGTGTGTTTTAGCAGTTTGGAATTCCTGGTGAATGAATTTAATCTTAATGTCCAGTTTAACCCTAACGATCTGCATCGGTGGGCCTGGCCAGCTGGCCTGTAAACACGGCATATCAGTCTGATTCAAAGGGGGATAGAAAAAGATTAAACAGATTAGAAACAAGCAGAGAACTTTGGAAGAGATGCAGAAACATGTTTGCTGAAGAGAGAAGCTGTTAGAAGGATGAAACCGTAAAGGAGAGCCGAGTTCAAACTCTGCTGCAGTCTGTAAAGGCTTATCTGATGGTCCCAGATAAGCACTGCTGCATTATGGGTGATTGTGGTGCAAGCCCGGCCTGCTGCATTGTGATTGGATGGTGAGTTTAAGACCTCCTCTGTGGGACAGTCTGACTGGCCAGGCTAACAATCGATGGGCCTGTTTTGGTCACATCTAGAACTCCTGGTTCTTTGTCTCTCCTGAGCTTTTTAGGAAGTTTTCTTCTCTGTTGCTTCACTTTCAGCTCAACTACCTGAAAAATGCCCCAAACTTTATTCTGATCTCATTTTAGGTCAGAACGATGCCTGCGAACCTCCATGAATGTTACCCTGGTCGACAGCAAAGATCTGGAGCTGTACAGTAAGCTTTGACCCTGCAGATGACCTTCTGACCAGCCAGGACCTCCAAAAGGTTTCAAACCGCTTCAGTTTTCTCCATTTGGTGATGTCACAACCAGAACCATTCATAGATTTTCTAAGCAGATCAGCCAGTCAGAGAAGAGCAGCTCTGAAGTCCTTTTCTAGGTCTTTAATCAATGCCTCGATCAGAACCGCCCTCCCTCTGGCTGTTTGCTCACTGCTGACCCGCCTGCTGGCCGAGCTTCCCTCGTGTTCCCAGGGGTCCTTCACTAAATAAAAAAAAAAAAGCTTTAAATCTGTGCTTTGAAGATGAAGAAGCTGAGAAGGACTTTGAAAACTTTTGCTGGTCCTGCGTTTAACTGCCATGCTATGAAATGTTAGCATAAAGTGGAGGAAATGATGTGTTTCTGCTCTGCAGTCCCACCTGGTAGATCCTACCACAGGTTCCTCACCACCTGCCCTGACTGCCTGCTCATGTTCTCCTACAACAAAGAAAACAGCTTTCAGATGCTCTACCTGTTTGGTCAGTATGAGCCGTAGTGGGCGGGGTCTGACCCTACTGATGTCATGATGACGATGATGAAGGCCCCTTTCTTTGCTGCTGCAGGTAGAACTACAACCATGGCCGCCGCTGATCTGAACACCTTCAGGAAACAAGCTGCATGCCTCCAGTTTCCACTGCCGTCCAGGTTCCAGTACGATACTAGCAAAGGTAAGAGGCTCACTGGTCAAACTGGGAGATCTGTTCCCACATCAGACAATAAGTGAAAACAAAGCTGAGTTTCCAAACGATAACCTGATTTATAAAGGATAGAAATCTACCCAAAGCCAGAGACTAATGAACCACAGCTTCACCAGCAACACCCAGTTACTGGTCACTGGTCTCTAGCCAGTTTACAACAAAGCTCCACGTGAAGAAAGCAGCTGTTTCCAATATTCTCTGTCATGCAGGACTGACGGTCATTTTCCTCAGAGTTCTCCAGTCTGTGGATCTGTCATATTGGGCTTTAAAGATCTGACCCACATGCAGAGAACCACTCTGGTGAACCGAAAACTCTGGAGGGGAGATCACAATGATCAGTTC